TAAGAAAACTGGTGATAAAGCTTGTCAGCCACAGAGCATAAGTGACATCATTAAAGTGGCAAGGCCTAAAATTAACTTCTGTGTGCCCTTGAAAAAAACAGGAAGTTAGCTGCATTAACCCAGAGCAGCATGACAATGTTTCTGTACAGCAGTGTTTACATTTCATAATTTCATCTGACAATGTGTGATAAATTATGCCTTTAGAAGACATGATTTCTTTCATAATATGAAGGAGAAGTTAAACTGCACTATATATCCATAAGATAATAAGATTCCTTTCTCTGTTTACATATGAGCATCTACCAACCTACCTGGGACAGGAGCAAAATTAAGATAATCATTTTTTTTCTGGTACCAAGGAAGACTTGAACTCAGGGCCTCAGGCTCTCACTTGGCTTTCTTCATTACAACTGGTACTTTACCACTTGAGCCATCCTTCTTAACTGGTTTTATTGCTGGTGAATCTGGCTGTAGCATCTCTTGGACTTATGTAACCCTGACTGACTTTGAAACATGATTCTCTGGATATCAGTCTTCTGAGCAGCTAGGATTCTGGGCATGAGCTACCAGCACCCAACTCAATCTCAGTACTTTGGATTTTTGCCTGCATGAATAGAAGTTCTTGGAGGCTTTGCTAGAGAGCTGAAGTAGGAAAAAGTGTGGAAAATGATGGGTCTCTTATATCTTCCTATCCTGTATATGATACCATCTACCACTGGCTTATGACTGTGAGCAGAACAGATAACTCTGTTGACAATCTGCCATTATAGTGGAGTATACTAGATTAGGAAGTTTGCTTTCTAGTGCTTCACCAGCTCTTCCCTTCCACATGGAAAAGAATGATGTATGAGCCAGGTATCCATGGCTCAAGCATGTAATCCCAGCTACTCAGGACGCTCAAAGCCAACTCAGGCAGGAAAGATTATAAGAGTCTTATCTCCAATTAGCCAGCTAGAAGTACAGTTGTGACTCAAGTTGTAAAGCCATCAGCATGAAGCATAGAAACTAAAGGACAATGCCTAGGCCCTGAGTTCAAGCCCCAGTATGGGCACAAAAAAAAAGGAAAGAAAGATACCTGGCATGAACATTGATGATATCTCCCACCTGTCTGTCATCTATCCCTTACCACATACTCTGCTGATGAAGACCTGGAATATGTACAGCAATTTCTATTGAAGTTTGCTAGCAAGGGATTTGCCTTTGCCTTGAGATTTAATTGCTTTGGAGAAGATTCCCTAATTAGCAGCAGAAGGCTCACAGAAGTTGCAGCAAAGGCTTTGGGATTATTAAAAGTTGGAGTCTAATCACAAGTGGAGACAGGAGCCCACTCCTTTCTATAATTACCCTGCATGAGGGCCACAGTTTCACCTGCTGAAGAGCCACCATAACTTATATTAGGGTCCTTATTGCTTTCAGAGAGCTAAGAGGGCTACACAGATCTGTCTCTCCTTCCTACCACACCAGGCAGTCCTCAACTTCTTGGCATTTATTCTGTTACTTTCAGATATCCTCAGGCTTCTTGTCCTTTTATCCCCTCCCCTTTGTGTCTGTCATTATATTACTTAACCAACACAGCTTCACCAGGAGACTAGGTACTTTTTTATTTTGTCGTGTGTGTGTGTGTGTGTGTGTGTGTGTGTGTGTGTGTACACGGGCTTGAACTCAGGGCCTTTCTTTCTGCCTTAGCTTTTTCAATCAAGGCTACCACTTGAGCCACTTCCACTTGCAGCTGCTTTTAGTGGTTAATTGGAGAGAAGTGTCTTAGGGACATTTCTACCCAGATTGGTTTTGAACTATGAGCCTTCTGAGTATCTAGCATTACAAGTATTAGCCACCAGCACCTGGCTTAGTTTTACACACTTTTGTTAGTATTCATTAGTAGTAGAAGATGATTTCCTTGTGACATGTCCATATATGATATGTATAGTGTAACTTGCTCACACTTGCCCTCACTCCCGGCACTGTCTTCTCCTCCCATTCCTTCCCATCCCAAATTAATCTCAGCAAGCTTTAGTGTTCCACTTTTATATAGACACATGAAGTATTTTGACCGTATATTCCCTCTTCCTCTTACCTTCCCATCCCACTAGTATTCCCATACAGTCACATGAGATGAAGCCTGGGTTCCATATTCTAGATCCTTCTATGGAATTTAAAGATGTTCATGCTGTTTCCTGGAGCCTCTGACCTAAGGCAACATGAATTCATCTGGTGCAGAGGATGTGGCCCCAAGATAAGAAATTTCTGGTTCTTTCTCAGCAGCTCAAATCTTGGCTGTATTTCTTGCATCATTTTCTTCCCCTCTCCAGACATGTCACCCGGCTCTGGGTTTTAGAAATGTTCTCAAGAAAATGCTGAAATGAGAAACCCAACTCCCATTCTTAAGCTGCTTCATGGAGCAACTGCTCAGAGCAGGTAGATTAGGTAATGGTAATTGCCAGCCAAGGCTGGAAGGTGACTTCTGAATATGCTACTGAAGCCTAGGTGTGAAACAAGGAAGGATTCTTCTGGCTGGTATCTGGGATCCTGATCTGGAGCCTCAGAAACACTTGAATGTTCTCAGGGATTGGACTGTGCTCATACTAATGGTGTGACTCACAGACCCTTAGTTAACTTCAGAGGGGGGCCTGGTCACTAGAAAGACCAATCAAGTAATATAACAAGACTAGAACTTCAGGCCAATCTGGCAGCCAGAGCGAAGGGGAAGACTAGAAATTTGGTTCATTCACATGCTACTCAGTAACACCTCATAACAAATTCTGAGACTCTATGGAGCTCTCTGGTTGGTGAAATCCTATATATCAGGAGGTGATATCACACCAAATATTTCTATTTCTCTGTATGTATCCTTCACTGTAAAACTGAAAGTATAAGTATAGCTACTAAGCCCACTATCTCTATTGAGTCATTCTAGCAAATTCTCATACCTGCTGGGCATGAGAAACTTTCAGTTTGATATTTGGATCATCAAAAGCACAAGTGGCCCAGGGAACCCACAGACAACTCATATTTGATATGAGTTGGCTTGTAGATGCAGAGCCCATCACTTGGTGGATCTTCACTGACTCTAGAATTGTGTGTGTGTGTGTGTGTGTGTGTGTGTGCGCGTGCACGTGTGCACGTGTGCATGCACACGCAAGTACTGAGGCTTAAGCCCTGGGCACTGTTTAGCTTTTTTCACTCAGGGCTGGTACTGTACCACTTGAGTCACAGCTCCATTTCCAGTTTCTTGCTGGGTAATTAGAAATAAGAACCTCACCGACTTTCTTGCTCAGACTGGTTTGAAATTGTGATCCTCAGATCCAGACTTGTGAGTAGCCAGGATTACAAGCATGAACCACCAGCTACTGGCTTGACTCCAGAATTACATTGCAATGCACACAGTTGCAGAAGAAACAGAACCGTTGTTTGGGATAATTTTCCTATTTTTAGTAGAAACCTTGAAGTACTAGATAGCTTTCTTAGAACCTTTTGGGGGGTATTAGAACTTAAAGCATTCTCCTGAGTAGACAGGCTAGGAAAATGATGTAGGGAATGTCACTCAGAGATTGGAACCAGACTCCACTTTTTTGGACTGACCATTAGCAGGTGTCAGTGAGATCTGTGTAGAACCTGAAAGTATGCGTTTAGAAGCTTTGACAACTGTTGGATTTTGCCAGAACATTCAAACGTAGAAGGAAATATAAAAATATATCAGACAGTGACAATTTGGGGGAAAGATCCCTTGCCACAGACAGCCTGAAGAGCCTAATTTAGAAAATAGAACTTCAGTTGGCAGGAGCAGATGAGATCACAATTTAGTATGGCTTCTGAATCAAGCAAAGGATTGTGTGTGTGAGAGAGAGAAAGAGAGAGAGAGAGACAGAAAGAGAGATAGACAGAGACAGAAAGACAGAGAGACAGAGACAGAGAGATGGGGGGGGGTCTGATGCTTTCTATTGCTGTGGTTTTGATCAAGTTACTTAAACTCTCCTCACCCATAAAATGGATATAGCACTATTTCCTGTTTTATTCCATGCTGAAAAGACCAAATGAGACAATCCAGGATTAATGCTAAGTACAAAGCGTGGAACGAAAAGTGAACTGCTGGCATTATTTTTCTAGGTTCATATCTTGGCATTTAGTCTTGGTTGCAGAATGATGAAAGTGTAATCTGGAGACAGGATTGGATTCAATAATCCCCCTCCACTGACATAACATTCACCGATAGCACGAACACTGAATTTTGCTTTGTCCAGTGCCACTGGTACACTTCTGGCATGTTCTAACAATCCTCTGGCCTGGGGGAGACCATGACCAAGTGAATCTGGTGACTACTCCTAATGGTGCACATTTCTGCTGTAAAATCCAGGAGCTCAAAGCCAGTTGCCCAAGGCTCATGCCTTAATTTTAATTACTCCTGAGGCTGAGATCTAAAGATCTCAGTTCAAAGCTAGCCTGAGCATAAAAGTCTGTGGGACTCTTATCTCTAATTTGAAATTAAAAAAATTCCATGAGATTCCTATCCCCAAGTGCCAGCCCTGAGGGAAAATGCTAAAGGAAGGCGCCAGTTCAAGCCCTCCACATCCTCGCTTGAGCTCATGTGCACAGAAGATCCTTGGGGTGGAGGAGGCGGGCGCTGAGAGGCATAGAAGCATACAATTGTGCCGCCTTCTCCCATCTGCTCTTCACCAAACTATCCAGGGCACATGTGTTGTGCTTTCAGAATGAGGACACAGACCTACCACTGAGATACCTGGAAAGGACTCTGAGCTCTAGGCTATCATCGGTGGTGGCAAGATGGCTGGATGAGAGAGACCAGGCAAGGGTCGATAGGATTCCTGAATGTAGATCCTGGATTTTTGCCTTCCCCTCCCAGCTCTGCCTGTGCCAGCCTGTCCCCAGCAGCGACTGAGCGGGCTTCCCATGTATACTAACATAGTCCCTGGCTGTTTTTTCAGGTCCTGCCTGCCTGCCCAGCGTTCTAGGAGACCAAGGAAGCGCAGGCCCGAGACCTTGCCATGAAGCCACACTTGAAGCAATGGAGACAACGCATGCTCTTCGGAATATTTGTTTGGGGGCTTCTTTTTTTGGTAATCTTCATCTACTTCACAGACAGCAACCCTGCGGAGCCTGCGCCCAGCTCCTTCTCCTTCCTGGAGACCAGGAGGCTCCTGCCCATTCAGGGCAGGCAGCGGGCCATCATGGGTGCCATGCAGGAGCCCTCCTCCCCAGGGAGCTTGGATCCCAACAAGGTTCCACGGGCTGGGCCCCGAGTTGGTCCTTTTCATGCAGGACCCAGAGACCCACAAACATGGGAGCAGGCCCCAGATGGCTTTGGCCACGCAGAGTTGTTTTTTACCTCCCAGATAGGGAGGAAATCTCAAAGTGCGTTCTACCCTGAGGACGACGACTACTTCTTCGCTGTGGGTCAGCCAGAGTGGCAAAGGCACGTGCCAGGGAGCTGGGGATTGCCGTCCCCAGAGGAGCCTTCCCAGCGGCGGGGAGCCCAGAGGAGGCTCCGAGTGAAGAAGAGATGGAGCCCGGCCTCGGAGGAGGGAGACGATGGGGACCGGCTGTCGGCCTCCATGTCCCGGGCCTTCCTGTACAGGCTGTGGAAGGGGAACGTGTCAGCGCGCATGCTGGCCCCGCGCCTGCAGAAGGCCATGCGGGATTACATGGCGGCCAACAAGCATGGGGTGCGCTTCCGAACCCCGCGCCAGGCACGCCGCAGCCGCAGCCGGGCAGAGCTGTTGTGCGAGCTGCGGCGTCGTGGCCGTGTGCGCACCCTGGATGGAACCGAGGCGCCCTTCTCCGCGCTGGGCTGGCGGCTGCTGGTGCCCGCTGTGCCCCTGGGCCACCAGCTGCACCCACGCGGCCTGCGGAGCTGCGCAGTGGTCATGTCAGCGGGTGCCATCCTCAATTCCTCCCTGGGAGAGGAGATAGGTGCGTCCCACCCGGGTCCGAAGTCACGGGTCGTGGGAGGAACCTCCAGGATGAGGGGTGGGTTGGTCCTGAGCCGGTGTTTCTGGAGTTCATCTTCTCTGACCCCACTGCACCTGTGGGCCATTTTGGGGATCCTAGATGATCTATTCTTAGAGGACTCTTGAAGCAGGGTCTCAGTAATTGGGAAGGACAAGAGAGATACCCCCTTCATCCCTGGTGCTGGTGGCAGTGGAGTCATTATCCCCCTTTGCCATAGGCTTGTCCACTGCTCGTGTCTTAGACATCCAGTCACAGAAACTTCCCTAATGGCCAAAAACACCGGAAGGCCTATCATGGGGTGGAATATGCTGGAAGAAATAAAGGACAAGGAAATAGGAGGTCATTGTGGATGTTATCTCCCAAGAAGACACAGGAGATGTTTTATTTTCTCCCTTGATACTGGGATTTGAACTCAGGACCTTGTGCTTACTAGGCTGGTGCTCTCCCACTTGAGCCATCACCCCTGCCCTGCTTTTGGCTGGTTACTTTCTACCTGGACTGGCCTCAAGTTGAGATCCTCTAGATCTCAGCCTCCTGCATAGCTATGATTACAGCATGAGCTACCAGAATCCAGCCAAGGGTAATGATTTTGGCTACTTCAAAGATCAAATTCAGGGGCTCCTGAGATCCAGATTACTACTGAAAACATGGCTCCCACAGGAAAGCGCTTTGGTCTGCTGACTCTTGGCACAATTTTAGCTCTCGCGTACCAGCCAGTACAACATGCTTCTCAAGGTAACATACCTGTAGTCAACCTGGGCTTCCATTTGCTCAGCCCAACACCACACATCTGTGTCAGGACATAGGTCCTGCATTAGTCAGGGTGCTGGAGAAAACAGGCTTTTAGGAAAGAGGGACCTGGGAAGAGATTTAAAGATGTGTTCTATCATTGTAAGGGCTTTCAAACATGTAGTTTGTACGACAGCTGACGGGCAAGGTTTCCACATTGCATGGTTGAGGTAGAATTCTTTCCTCTGGAAGCATTAAACCTTATTTTTCAAGCCTTCAACAGATCAGATTCCCTCATCTACAGTGGGGTCAGTAATATGCTTTCTTCAAAGTCTTACTGAATTAGCTGGGCTCAGTGGATCAAGTCTATAGTCCCAGATACTTGGGAATTAGGGATTGGGTGATCATGATTCAACCAGCCTGGGGGTGAAAATTCTCTTAGATTCCAGTCTCAACCAATATCATCCCAAGCTAGGGGGGAGCTCAATAAGCTCATCTGTCATCCTACCAACATATGGAAGCACAAAGCCACCCATGAGACTACTATTTCCAACTAACCAGCAGAAAGCCAGAAATGGAGCCATGGCTCAATGAGAGAGTGCCAACCTTGACTGAAAAAGCTCAGAAACGGTGCCCAAGCCCTGACTTCAAACCCCAGTATTGGCACCAAAAACAAACAAACAAACAAAGATTGGCTGGTGATTGTAGCTGAGATGGCAGCAACACAGATCTCAAGCCAGATGTTCTTGGGAATGCAGCAACAACACTTCTAGACTAGTGATTTGGGGTCCCTGCATCTCGGGACTGACCTTACAGCAGGCTTACAGTAATACTGCCCATGTCTCACATAAGCTTGGAGCCAAACCAGAGCAAAGCACCCTGCAATTTATTAGCCATGTGCAGAGGTTTAGAGGCCCCTGGGGTGAAATAACACCACAGTTTCTTCTCATTTCTGAGGACCAACATCAATAATGCAGAGGAGGAATTTAGGTATTTAGCTTTGAAGCAGCTGGTAACCTGCTTCTGGTTTGTTTTAAACACCGCTGCATCATAAATATGTGGTATTTGGATAGCTCTTACAGGCCAGGGAGAAGTCCCATACTCTTTATGCCTCCATAAATATCCCTGTCCAGAGTCTTTTAAATGCTATTCAGAATTAGAAGGAAGATATGAAAGACACCACGAAGTCTGTACTTATGCTGAGTAGAGGTGCTGTAGCACTTAAATGAGTGTTTATTATGATTAGAATTGTAAGGTCACAGATGAAGAGCATGACTGGAAAAAAAATTTAATTGTCTATTTTAGCCAGATACAGTGGCTCACAACTATAATCCCAGCTACTCAGGAAGCAGAGATTCGGACAATTGAATTTAAGATCAGTTTGGGCTAAAAGTTTGGGAAACCTCCTCTCAAAACAACAACCAAAACTGCTGGTCATGGTAGTTACATGCCTGTTATTCCAGATACATGAGAAGAGTAAATAGAATCTGTATCGCAGGCAGCTGGGACATAAATGTAATACTTTGTCTCAAAAGTAACTGAAGCAAAACAAGATAGATATATGGCTCAGATGGTAGAGCACCAGCCTAGCTCAAACTCAGTTACATAAGAATTGTCTTGCTTTTTATTTAGGTTCCTTTGAATCAGATTTTCACACAACCAAATCAGCTAGTGCACCAACAGGATTGATCTTTCTAAGCATGTGTCACTGTCAGCCCTGTGCAGACCAGGTGCTGACCCCTCCTCTCCGGCTCAGCTGAGGTGTCAATGCAAACCACAAGTCATTAAGTCACGAATAGCTTTCATGGCAGAAACAAACTCATGCTTCCTTCAGGAACCTTGGAACGTTGGGGCATAATTTAGCCAAACTCAGGTTGACCCCTAAATACCTGCCTCTGAATTTGCTAAATGCAGATTCAGAATTACCAGAGGAGGTATGATCCAATGAAATATTGAAGGCAGGACCGAGAGGTGACCCAGGCAGTCTGTGTATCCAAACCCTACCACTGCTCTACAAGGTGATCCCCTTCTAGGCCAATAACCCCAATACTACACAGCTCCTTCCTTCCCGAGAGAGACACACCCCCTCGCCTCCCTGTTCGTTGATTGGCTGCCAGTTAACGCCCCAGTTAACAAACTGGTGTTTGTCCCAGTCCTGTCCCCAGATCCCTTTCTGTTAAACTGAGTCCCACAGAACAATTACTTGGGGCTAGGAAAGTATAGTAGTTGTTAAACTATATGTAAAGTACAAAGGCTTTGAATATGTTATTTGAGCTGTTTAGGAACTATAGAACATTCCAGGAGGCATGAGCTGGTCTGGTGTCAGTTTGCACCTAAGTGGTAATATTCATTGATGAAGACACTTTTGGTGTTCCCATCGAAGTGCTCCCAAAGAGAGCAGAGTGCTTCTATCAAACGGCAATAGCTTTGAAAGTGGACATGTGTCTCCAGTGGTAGAGTGCCAGTCTTGAATGAAAAAGCCAAGCAGAACACGAGGCCCTGAGTTCAAGCCCCAGTACCAGCACTAAACAAAGAGGAAAAAGGAAACGAGAGAGAGAGAAAAAAAAAAGAAAAAAGAAAGAGAGAGAGAAAGAAAGAAAGAGAAAGGAAGAAAGAAAGAGGAAGGAAGGAAGGAAAAGAAAAGGAAGAAACCCCAGAAATAGCCTTAAAGTAGAAGATTAGGGTCTATATTTTGAACACATGGGGTCTGGCAAGTGATTATTAGGAAATGGGAAGGAAGAGAAGGGATGTAGCCCCCAGAGTACTTACTGGAGAGAGTTGGGGACTTGAGAAGGCCTTGTTACCTTTGCTTAAAAAGATAAGAAAGCAATTCCTATAGTCATCCAACCTGCATTAGCTACTTATTGTTTCCAAGTTCTTTACCAGATCCTGCACTAGACACAGAGGTGACTAAGGCACAAACCCAGACCTCAAATTCTGTAGTCTTGGGGGAACAATCCAAGCCACCAACAGAAATGCAGTACTTCGTTGGTGGGGGAAGGACACAGAGGAATATATGCCCACAGGGTGGGCATGACCCGCTGAGAGCTGTTGCCTGAGTGAGCAGAAAAGGGGTCAGGAAAGACTACTCAGAGAGATCAGGCTGGAAGCCCAGTGAGGTAAAGAGACATGAACCAACACAGTGTGCCGGTGACACAGGCCCCAGTAAGTCCAAAGGCCCAAGGTTGGGGAAGACAGCAACACTGGCTAGAGGGCAGTAGAACAGGGCACGGATGCTCCTGAAAGCCATTCTACAGAAAATAGACTTCACCCCATAACTGTAATGGTTATACCTCCTGCAGGCATTTGCTGTAGACAAGATCTTTCCTGATGAGTTCTGAGTGTGGCTCTTGTATGCCTTTACCACAGCCCTGTAAGCTCAGCCTGAATCTAAGGAAGAGAAGCTCTTACTCATGTATCCAAGAGGCAGAGACAGAAAGATATTACAAGCAAAGAAGCAGTGGCACCAATCTTTATGAGCGATTACTTCCAAGTCTGAGTTCCAGGATATTTTTTGTTATTCAGACATATTTAGCAGGTATTTTTTTCCAAAGGGAATTAAGTGAACCCATCATGTTGTAGTGGAATTTGAGCCCCACTAAAAGGGCCTTGCACTTGCTTGATCTTATTGCACACTTTGCTGGGCTTGAACCATGCCTCCAGCCCTGCATTTTACTAGTTATTTTGGAGAACAAATCTCACAGACATTGCAATCCTAGATGGTTCCGATAAGATCCTCCAGATCTCAGTCTCCTAAGTAGCTAGAATTACAGTAATGAGATCCTGGTGACTGGCTAAGCCAGTTACCTTTTAAGCAAACATGGCCATGTACACTGCCAGTGGTAAAACTCAGGCTTTTGACTGTGAATGTGGAGGCTTCTTGAGGAGCTCCACATGATATTAACCCAGGTGGTTTTTACTCTCTAATGGAATGGATCAATATTTGAGAGCTGACAGAATTTTCAAATGGTCTTTACATGATATTACAGAACTATGCATGAGTGAGAGATCCACACTAAGGACAAGATATATTAATGGGCGTTAATGTGGCAGAACTACTTAACTTTACACCCATTAACTTGAATTTTCTAAAATTCCATAGTTTAGAGGCCTCTTTATGTTAAATACATGGGAAGGAGACTCCTGGGTAGTGGATACAGACTTTGGCTGACAGTAGAGACTGGCTTTATACTTTATAATTAAAATCAGGAGTTGTCAATTTATTCAGACAAAAGAGTTCATCAAAGGCAGACACCAGTAGCCCATGCCTATAATTCTAGATGGTAGGAAGCTGAGATCTGAGGATAGAATTTCAAAGCCAGTCCAGGCAGGAAAGTCTGTGTGAGACTTTTATTTCTAATTAAACAACCAGAAGAGAGAAGTGGAGCTATGACTCAAATGGTAAAGAGCCAACCATGAGCAAAAAAATCCTATATTATGCCAAGACCCTAAGTTCAAGCTCTAGTACACACACACACACACACACACACACACACACACACACACACACACACACACACACAAGCTCATTGATACTATTTTCAAAAGCCACATTGCAATCAACCTTTAACAGACTAACACTTGTCAAAGTTCATTGAAAAAAATCATATGTGTATGTGTGTGTGTTGTGTGTGTGTGTGTATGTGTGTGTGTGTGTTTCACAGATCCCTTGGGAGACTACTAAAACAGCCTTCCCCTTTGGGAATGAAGCATCTTAGTCTTTATCCACTAAAGCATAAGTCTTTATGCACTAAGGCAACATCTTGCAAACACTGAAGGCAAGAGAGACAAGAAGCTGTCTTTTAAAAAGTCAAGCTTAGAGGTAGGCACCAGTGACTCATACCTGTAATTCTAGCTATACAGGAAGCTGAGATCTGAGGATCATGGTTCAAAGCCACCCCCTGCAGGAAAGTCCATGAGACTCTTACCTCCAGCAAACTACTTAAATAAAGCCAGAAATGACACCATACTCAGGTGGTAGAGCACTAGCCTTGAACACAGAGAAAGGCTCAGGGACAAAGCCCAGGCCCTGAGTTCAAGACCCAGGACTGCAAAAAAAAAAAAAGCCAAACTTTGAAGAGATTTGCAAACACTTAAAACAGTGCCAGTCTTCTGTTTACTTTGCTGTTTAAAATTTTTATTAAAATGTTATTTTAATATAAATTAATGAATAAAACATTAAATTCTATCCTATTTAGTAATGCAGTGAATATATTATCAACACTAACGCTTTGGTAATCTAAATTTTGTAGCTCAGATATCATTTATTTGTTCTTTTAAAAATGAAAACACACTGTTCAATAAAAATAAATAACAAATCAATCTATTCCCCCCAAAATGCAAAGAGCTTACAATGTAACATAAAGAAGCAGCTCTTAAAGCTTAATGCCAGTGGCTCATGCCTGCAATCCTAGCTACTCAGGAGGCTGACATTGAGGATTGTGGTTTGACGCCAGCCTAAACAGGAAAGTTTGTGAGACCCTTATTTCAAATTGACCACTAAAACGACATAAGTGGAGCTATGGCTCAAGTGATAAAGCACCAACCTTGAGCAAAAAAGCCAAGTGAGGGCACAAGACCTTAAGTTCAAGACCAAGTATTAGACGTCCTGCCCCAATAAAACAAGAAACAAGGTAGTTTGGCTTCATTTACACAGAACATACCTTTTAGAGATTTGCAACCTATTTTTTTTCTAAAAAGCCAGGTAGATTTTAAGCTCTTCAGACCATGAAGACTGTTTCAAGAACTGTGCCATTATAGACATGCATTCACAAATAAATGTGTATATGGTGCTCCAACTTTATTTACTAGTGCCAGGCTATAGCTCAGACATAGCTTGGATTTTCCAGCGATACAAAGAGGTACCCTTTAAGACTTTTTTACCATCCAAAAGTTTCATCCTTTTGCTATTCAGAACTAGAGCTTCAGCCAGGTGCCTGTGGCTCACTTCTATAGTTCTAGCTGTTTGCAGAGCTGAGGACTGAAGGACAGTGGTTTAGGACTAGGCAGAATCGTCCACCCACAGCTGGCACAGAGGTGTGTACCTTCCATCCTAAGGAAGAACTTGGGAGGATTGTGGTTCCAGGCAAACCCAGGCAGAAAAGTCTGCAAGACTCCATTGTATTGTAGATATCATGGTTCACGTGTGCCATCCCTTCAACTATGGAAAGACTAAAATAGGCAGACCATAGTCCTGGAACATGCCTGAGTCAGAAGCAAGATCCTATCTCAAAAATAATCAGCAAAAGCACAGGGTGCTTTTGGACACAGTGGTGTCCAACAAGCTGGAGGCTTCAAGCTTAAAAGAAACCTAGAACACACCAATTCATTATGGCTTAGGTCTCATCAATAAAGGTACATTTTCTAACATTGTTTTGGTGGGACATACATGGTAGTTTAATCCTTCTAGGGTGCCAGAAGACTCCCAAGGAGGGAGCATCAGGACCCAGGGGAAGGTTAGCTTCTCTAAGGTCCTGTGAAGTCACAGTAAATGAGGCGAGTGCATGTCCATGTGGCTTGTACAAATGTCACACATGCACACACTTGCTTCTTACTGTCACATACATGCACTGTCACTACTGCAAGTTAAACTTGGGATGTTTGAGGACAACCTATAGGTGTCCTCTTATTGTTCATCGTCTCTGGTTTCATGCTGGTTTGTGTTTACAGCCTGTTTTAGGAAAAGAGAACTTGTTTCCCATTCCTATCTCTAATCAGATGAGGCTACTTTATTCCACGTCTTTCTCTTCACCTCCTCCTTGGCCTCATGATACAAGGGCCTGGTGGTCACAAGGCACCTCCCTTTCCAGCATTCAGATAACTGGAGGATGTCAGATACCTTGAAGGAAGTGTATACAGGCATGTTCTGTAGGTCAAGCTTGGTGCACCATTACTGAATACAAAGAACCCTAGTGGATTGTAACTTCGGTGGTCCCAGCCTCTAGCTGCATGGTATGTCTGATTATGACTTCAGAATGAGGGGCCTTTAAGGCTGGGCTCACACAGGACATTGTGGCATCAGGAACAATATATAAGGCTTCAAGAAAAATCAGGGCTTTTCATTTTAAGCATAAACCTTCACCAGAAAGTGGCACCATAGAATTGAAGGCCCTGGCTTTGATCCCAAGAGAGACACATTTATTCTCTATGGAGGCCCCGGAATTACATGACATTGATGACCAACCTCAGTGTTCTTCAAGCAGGAAAAAGACCCAAATGAAGTTAGGTGCTGATGGCTCATGCCTGGGAATCCTAACTACACACAAGCTGAGATCTGAGGATCACAATTTGAGACCAGCTTGGGCAGAAAATCTGTGAGACTCTATTCTCCAATTAACAGCCAAAAGCTGGAAGCAGAAGACTGTTTCAAGTGGTAGAGCACCAACCTTGAGCAAAACAGCCAAGTGAGACCATAAAGCCTTGAGCTCAAGCCAATTATCACACACACACAAAAATCACATACACATAAAGCCCAGATGAACATTCCATGATCCCCTGACTTTCCCATCAACTTACCTCCTTCTGTAGTTCTAGTAACGAAATGTTCTAGAGTCTTCCAGAGAATGGCTGCATAAAGCATGCAACTTGGAAAAAATGTGACATCTGTATGAAACTTAAATGACACTGGAGCATGTGTAACCAAATGAGTTTATGCATACATACACAGTCATTGCTTTCTTATTGGATAGGTCTAAAAAATGCATGTGTCATTAGACGAGTTTGCCATCATGCTAACATCATAGATTGCACTTACGTTGATGGAATTACAGCATCACTAGGCAACACAGTTGGTGGGAGCACTGTCCTGTAAATGATCTGTTACCCACCGACAAGCCATCATACTGTGTGACTGACTGTGTGCTCTTCCTGATGCATCTCCTGAGCCAAGCTCTCCTCCCAAGTCAACAGTACATTATCTGAAAAGCTGTGCATGTATATCCAGCTTCAGGTATTGAAAGACTTTCTTTAACCTTTTTTCCTAGATTCAACAGAGACAAAAAGTAAACTTGTCCCTATATGCCCTTAGATTCTCACGATGCGGTTTTGAGATTTAACTCAGCTCCTACCCGAGGTTATGAGAAAGATGTCGGAAATAAAACCACTGTCCGCATCATTAACTCCCAGGTAAGATGGATGAAGTGTTTCTAGGGGGGCCATTCTGTAGGTAAATGGTTAGACTAGATGAGTGAGTAGAAATTATCTGGTTATTGGTGACCATTGTAATGCACATGCACCTTGTAATTATGAAGAACTAATAAAGAAAAATACAGAGAAATGGGCGCATAGATGTGATACAAATAAGGCAAAAGAATAAAATAAAACAAAATTAGATTAAATACAGACATACTTTTTGAAGTATAGACTTAGCATATTAGAACTGGGGAAGTAAGAAAAAGTATCAAAACAAAAGAAACCTGGTCATTAAGAATGTAGGAGGTAAATCCTAGCTACTTAGGAGGTTGAGATTGTGGTTAGAAGTCCACCCAAGCAAATAAATTAGAAACACTCTTATCTCCAATTGACTAGCAAAAAGCCAGATGTGGAGATGAGGTTCAAGAGATAGAGTACCAGCTTTGAGTGATAAAGCCAATCAAGTGTGAGAGGCCCTTAAAAAAAAAAGAGAGGTCCTGAGTTCAAACCCTAGTACTAGTGCACACAACACACAGCACACAACACACACACACACACACACACACACACACACACACACAAGCAAGAGCTAAAAGGAGATAAAAATGTCACATATCTGAAAACTAAATATATCTGAAATTCTCATCTGTTATTTGGAAATTGTAAAAATAAAAAAAATGCATGATTTGATTGAAAAATTAAAGTATCCCTTTCCCTATGTTCTTAATAAGAATGGCTTCCAAGCTGGGTGCCAGTGACTCATGCTTGTAATTCTAGCTACGCAGGAGGCTGAGATATGAGGACCATGGTTCGAAGCCAGCCTAAGCAAAAAATGTCTGTAAGACTCTTATCTTCAATTAACCACCAAAGGAAGCTGGAAATGGAGCTGTGGCTCAAGAAGTAGAATGCTCGTCATGAGCAAAAAAAGCTCAGGGACAGCATCCAGGCCTTGAGTTCAAGCCCCAGGACTAGAAAATATAGGCCTCACTTTATGGCAAAATTATAGAACCAATCACAACAATGTCAAAAATATGTAAAAAAAGAAAAAAAAAGGTATAAGTGATTGATGATGAATGAACTGCCTGTGAATGAGCAAGCCATTAGCGCATTGCTGTTTGCTGTGTCAGGTCACCTGCAGCGAGGAAGGAAACAATTACCATATTTCCTTAATTCCTCTCTTCTCAGAGAGGAAAAGAGAAAGCCCAGCAAATTAAAATACATGTCATCCTAAAGATGCACTTCAGAAAAGATAATATAATGTGAAAACAGTGCATCTTAATAATGGTGAAAATTTGTATCTGAAAACTAAGAAAAAGCAAGCTGTATTTCCCCCGAAATATAGCTTTTAGTTTTATGTGTTTTTAGAAAGGATGGATGGCAGGTGACACTGATTAATATATCCAGGACCGTAAATAAAACCATAAAAGAGGCCTATACTGGCCTGGGGTGGCTCTTCCACAGTGCATCAATGTGGCTTCTAAATCACAAGGCTGTCGTAGAGATGGTGTCTGAACTAGCTGGGGAGTCACATTTTTCAGGGGCTGGATTCTAGATCATGCAATATCATTCATTAATGTAATGGCTAGTTTCCTTTTCTTTTCTTTCTTCTTTCCTTCCTTTCTTCATTTCTTTCTCTCTCCCCTTTTTCTTCCTTCCTTCCTTCCTTTCTCTTTCTTCCTGACTTCCTTCTTCTTTCTTTCTTTCCCTCTTTTGCATTACTTTCTTTCTCTCTTCCTCTCTTCTCTCCTTTTCCTTCTTTCTTTATTCATTCATTTATTGGTGCCTGTGTTGGAGGCCTAAATTCGGTGCCTGGTCAGAGTCCCTTAGCTTTTTCTCTCGAAGCTGACACTATTCATATGTATTTATGGAATATTGTTTCATAGCATATTTTTATATTTTCTATTTTGATATATGATGATCATGTATCAGGGTTCAATCAGGGTAATTATCAGGGTAATTATCATTTACATCCCCTTAAACACTTATCATTTCTTTCCTTTTTTTTTGGAGCTTGAACTCAGTACTTAGGCACTGTCCCTGAGCTCTTCAGCTCAAGACGAACCCTCTAACACTTAAGCCACAGCGCCACTTCTTGTTTTCTGGTGGTTATTTGGAGATAAGAGTCTCCTGGACTTTCCTGCCTAGACTGGCTTTGCACCGCAATCCTCAGATCTCAGCCTCTTAAGTAGCTAGGATTACAGGGATGAGCCACCAATGCTCAGCTTATCATTTCTTTCAAGACAATATTTGTTTTAAAAACATTGCCACCTCCAAAACCCCACCTCATTTTCCTGATCATGCTTTGGTTTCTGGTGTGCAACACTAGTCCCTTCTTCTCCCAAAGGAAAACAGAAAACTTGAGTTTTTTGTTTTTTCTGTTTCCACATTGTAATTTCCGCCTGTTGTTAAAAATCTATTTAGAGAATGAAACACCACAGGCTTTGAATTTTTTTTCTGTGTACTTGCAGATTTTAACCAATCCCAGCTATCATTTCATCGACAGCTCTTTATATAAAGATGTCATTTTGGTGGCATGGGACCCTGCTCCTTATTCTGCAAATCTTAACCTGGTAAGTGTTTCCCTGCTGTCCCTAGTTCAATGTCAGACAGTACTTTAGCTGATTAGACATGGTAGCAGATCAAGACCTGAGCTTTGACAGAGTGAAGCTGCGTCCCCACAACTTTTTGATACCCAGTTATATATCTGGTATGCACAGCATTATCCATTTGGTGCTAAAAGGCTTTGGCTCTGGAGAAATGAAGAAAAACATGCAACACATCTAGATGCTCAAAAAATCCTAGTTACAGTGAAGGTTGGGCTGATTAAACTCAAAATAGTTTGCTTGTGATGGGGTGACATCCTCCCTCAGAAAAGCTGTAAGACCATTAGAAATAAATTGGAAGTCGTTGACATGAAAATCTGTGCATACACAACTTGGCACTTACTTACTCAGGCTTTTCTTGAGTGTATCTCTTTAGCTTCTGCTTCTGAATCTGGTTAATTTCATTCAATAGAACGGAAGCAAGTTTGTTACTAATAATCAAAATACAAACAAGTTGAGCCCAGTGCTGGTGACTTATGCCTAACTGTAATCCTAGCTCCTTGAGAGGCTAAAATAAAGAGGATGATGCTTGGAGGCCCAATACGGTGATAAAATTTCTGAGATTCCAACTTAGTGAAAAAAAAAAACTGGGTACAGTGGTGTGTTGCCTGTCATTGCAGCTTCAACAGGAAGCTTAAAATAGGTGAACTGAGGTACATGTATGTGCCTGGACAGAAAGTGGGACACTACTAGTCCCTGAGTTCAAACATTAGTACTGACATAAAAAAATAACAAAATTCATAAGAAGGTTATATAGATCAGAACCTTGCATGAAAAGTCAACGAGCTTGTTTGTAATGATATTGAGAAATAATGGATGATGGCTAGCCTAGAAAGGCATTTTGCCAACTGTACCAATGAGTATCCTTGACTTGCTTTGCCAGAACCAGAGAGCATGCAACCTTCTAATGATGAATGTAGAGAACAGATCTTGGAGCCTCCAAGGTGTCATTTTGCAAAGAGAGCTATCTAAATGGAATGGTTCCCTCCAAAAGAAGTGCGTGGTTCTCTGTCCATCTTGAGACTGAGGCTAGACATTCACCAGAATGACTACTAATGAGTTTCCAACTAGAGGTATAAACTTCAATCACCCAGAGTCGTTTTCAAAATTGATCTAAAAGAGCCCATTTCAAGATGGAAAGGAAACAGCCTGGAACTATATTCTCTTTCAAAGTTCTCCTCTGCACTCTCTACTGAAAATCAAACATTGGTAGAGCTTAGGACATTTTTAACTCTCTTCCCAACCCATATCCTGAGTTTATGGCTCTGTGAACTTTTTTTTTGCTGTTTGTGAATTGACTGGCATTTCAGTAGGCTTCATCCAAGCCCAGGACACACACACATCTAAGCCTACTGGATGAATGTGGGCAGAGATGATGCTACATTCCAAGTGTCACGGCCCCTTATACTGGGGCCGGTGTTCCTTGTGAGGACATGGGAAGAGGCTGGGAAGAGGAACAGTTCCTTCTCATTCTTCACACATTTTTCTTCTTTCAGACTGCCACCAGATGTGGGGCTTAACTTATTTAGAAGTCCCTGACCCAATCATGCTCAGAGGGTTTTGTTTTGGTTGGATGGTTGGTTGGTTTTCCAATACAGAACTTAAACTCTGGGTCTCATACTTGCTTGGCTTGCTTGCTCTGCTGGTACTCTACCATTTGAGCCATGCTTCTAATTTTGCTGGCTATTTTGGAGATTGAATGTTGCAGACTTTTATCCAGGACTTGCCTTCCCAGTCTTGGATTCCTTTGGATCTCATCCTCCTGAGTAGCTTGGATAATTAGGCATGAGCCACCAGCATGCTTGGCGTTTACTCAAAGTTTTTCAAGCCACAAACTTCCTTTTTTCCAGTCCTCAGACTTGTTTTCAGGGCCTGAGAGGCTTTGAGCTTTCGCTCAAAGCTAGCACTCTACCACTTGAGCCACAGTGCCATTTCCATCTTTTTCTGTATATGTGGTACTGAGGAATCAAACCCAGGGCTTCATCCATACTAATTAAGCACTCTACCACTAACCACTTTCTCAGCCCCCACAAACACTTCTTATAAGTAGAATTCTATCCAGGATCTTAATAAATACCTGATTACCCTTGGACTCTGCTCAAAGGGTTCTTAGAGGCCTATGAGCTCAAATCTTACATGATGATAACACCTGGGTCATTTTTTGAAGAATTTTGTTTTAAATCAACCTGACTGACTTTTGCACACAATGTGCTATAATATATGTAATTGTATATTCTGATGAGCATGATCACATTTTGATTCTTAGGTGTACCTGTCATGGTTCAGGAAGAGCTCTCAAGTCATTCTTTCTTAGCCTCCACCCAAAACCAGAAAGCATTGATGGGCTATCACCACAGATGAAATAGGTGACAGAAACTTAGGGGAAACTTACTTTTGAAATATACTGCTTAAGCAAACTCAAGGATGAGCATTCTGAAGCATACTCTAAATATGGCCATCAGTTGTCTTAATAAAGTTTTATTAGAACACAGCATGTTCATTCAGCAGCTACCTATGGCTGTATCCTGTATCCTGTATCTGTATCCTGTAATAGAGTTAAGTAGTCACCAAAAAGATCCAGAAAGCATGGTCCAGAAAGTGTCAGGTGTCTACGATCTGACCCTTCCCAGAAAACATGTACTGATCTAGACCAGCTCTAGCCCAGCTTCCTCATTTTACTAAAGGAGAAGGCTTTAGACTTGTTAAGACTAGAAAGCTGCTCTCTCTTTGTATATGTCCCAGTGTTCCAAGGGACTGTCTGTAGAAGCAATGAGTTGTAGACTTCTCTTCCTTCCCTCCTCAGCCTCTAAATCCACCTGTCTGCCTGCTGTCCTAAGTGCTTTTCAGTTAGTCCTCTGTCCTTGATTGGGTTCCTTTTCTTTTTCAGTGGTACAAAAAGCCAGATTACAACCTGTTCACTCCATATATTCAGCATCGTCAGAGAAACCCAACTCAGCCATTTTACATTCTTCACCCTAAATTTATATGGCAGCTGTGGGATATAATCCAGGAGAACACAAAGGAGAAGATTCAGCCAAACCCACCATCTTCTGGTTTCATTGGTATGTGTCCATTAAAGATTAGAATGATTGGATGACATTTTATATATAATGAATAAACAGTTATCTAATATAGACAGAATAAGTAGCCAGTAACTTTGGAGATTGCTTAAAGAAAAAGGAAATGTTCTGTTTCAGTTATTTATTACTACGTAACAAACTGCTCCAAAATTCTGAGCTGCCACATGAGAACTGTTGTATTTCCTCTCATGCTTTTGAGGCTCAGGACCTGTCTGACTGGACAATTCTTCTGCCCACCTGGCATCAGTGGGGTTACTTGGTGTTCAGCTTCTTTATAGGATGGCTGCCCTTGCATATCTAGCACCTTGGATAGGATAGCGAAAGGCAGGCTTAGTTGAAACTGTTAAACAAATGCCTGCATGTGGTCTCTGTTTCATGGTGGGTAAGTAAATTTTTTACATGGCAGCTAGGGGATGCTCTGGAGTATGTTCCAAAGAATAAGAAATACAAGCAATCAGTTGCTTAAGGTCCAGACCTGGAGCAATCTCAGGACCACTACGCTGATAGGAGGACACATAGACCTCAGCTCTTGATGAGAAACAAGGGAGGTGTTTTGAGAACTTACAACTCTTTCTTACCCACGCTACCCTCACTCATATTGCTTCTGGGTGCCAGGCTGAGGAGCTGAATGCGAGACCCTCAGAGAGCAGGTGCTGTTGCAAGATTGTTAGTAATAATGGCCTTGGCAGTACTCAATCACTAGTTCATTAATTTTAATGGACTAGCTCTAATATCCAACAATGTATTTTATGTTGTGAGATAATCACACTTGCCTTCTTTTTTTTTCAACCAGACTTTGATCCTCAAAGCTTGTAGGTGTGCCCAATTTCTGTATGCTTTGGCTTATTATTTCTTTGATTTTACCTTAGTAGGACACAACTGAGTCATACTTGAGATGCCTCCTAAAATATGAGAGGGTAGAATAATACCAAAGATAATGGTCTTATAGTCACCCCAATTTCAATGAATTCACTACCACCTTCCTTAGACTGCAAAGCAGGTTCTGTGAATAGAGAGAGGAGATTTATGGAGAGCACACCAGTCTGGTTTTGCATGCAGGGCATATAGATATCCCAAAGTGAGGCTTGCAGACTTGGGAAGAGTTTATAGTTTTGTAATTATGAGGAATATTTTACGCGGTGGTCAATAAAACCCTTAAAATAAGACTACATAGTGCTTGCTTTATGCCCTGTTCTTTTCCTCTTTCTCTTAAATCCGTGCCTTAGCATCCAAACTGCTCTTGTAAAATCCAAACTCTTAATCTATTATTTAACTTCTGAAAATTGATTTAGGGAAGAAAGTATTATCTGGTTTATCAACAGAGGGTAGACTTGATAGAATGACACAGTGAAGCAGGATAGGGACACATTTGATAGTCTTTTTTATATTGTCATCATGAATTTATGTTACTAATATTTGAATAGGGAAATGTTTTAAAGCATGGTTTGACAGGATGAGACTGTCAGATAATTATTATTGGCATGTGGTTTCAAAACCAATTAGATTTTTGTTGCCAAAAAATATTTGCAGTTTATTTAAGTTAATCACACCACATATGGCTAGCTTTCTTTCAGTGGTTTTCTTGAGATGCTGGAAAGGCTAGCAATTGCCTTCATAGCTTTCATGGTAGGTACAGAAGTATAGTTTAATGTCACTGCAAGAGTGTAGGTTAGAACTGCCTTAGTTTGAGTTTTAATTCTTCTCTGCCACTTACAAGTTTTCCGAGCTTGGGTAAATTGCTTAATCCTTTGACCCTTGATATTCTCAGATGAAAAATGAAAAATATAATAAAACTTTTCTAAGGGTGAACTTACTGACCAATTTGCAATCATTATTATTTTCTAGCATTGTTTTATCTAATATGTGTACTATTAGCAACATGTGAGTGTTTAAGTTTCAGTTCATCTGAATTAAATAAGATGGGGTCTGCTTCTGCATTTTCTAGCCCCATTTCTGAGTGGAAAACCACTGATAAATCATGCTAAACAGTATAAGAATGAAGCTATGCATGATTATGCCCATCTTCAATCCCAAAAACTCAGGAAGTGGACACAAGAAGATCTTGATCTTGATGAACCCACATTAACCTTCATAAGGTGACCTTGTCTCCAAAAACCAAGGATTACACATGTAGCTCAATGGTAGAGCACTTGCTTAGTTTGCACAAATTCCTGGGTTTACTACCCTTGTACTTTCCCCCACCAAGAATGATGAACAGATAAGAAATCATAAAGTTCCCATTGGGCAGGTGGTGCTTTATGGGTGAGAATGGAAAATGAAAAAGAAAATGTGACTGCTACATTAAATTTACTTGCTGACCTTGAGCTTCAGCTTATTTAAGAATGGGAGACCCATCAGCAAGAGTGGCCAATTTAGCACCTTCTGAGGACCCCACTGCTGCTGTGGTATTTATACCCCTTCTCTGCTCTGGGCCAAAAATAGATAGATGGTTGGTTTCTTTTATCCTTTATTGACTATTATTTGTGTGTGTGTGTGTGTGTGTGTGTGTGTGTGTGTGTGTGTGTGTGTGTGTCACTGGGGCTTGAATTCCCTTAACCTCATGCTGTGACTGAGATTTTGAGCTCAAGGCTAATGCTCTACCACTTGAGGTATGCCTCCACTTATGGAATTTTTTTCTGGTTAATCAGGAATAAGAGTTTCTTGGACTTGTCTTCCTGGATAGACTTAAAACAGTGATACTTAGATCTCAGCCTCCAAAGTAGTTATGATTACAGGTTTGAGCCACCAGAATCTAGCTAGATTTGTGGTCATAGTAGTAGTAGTACTAGCAGTAGTAGTAGTAGTATCTTTATGCAGTTGTACCAATGGGTTACCATTCAACATGTCAGTTTATAAGTACCACGTATCTTAACTGATATTACCTCTTTCATCATTCTCTCCTATCTACCATTCTTAGATAGCAGTAAACTAATACCACCCATATTTTAATCTACCAGCTATCATAACATTTTTGTTCGTGTGCCAATTCTAAGGCTTGAACTCAGGACTGGATGTTGTCCTTTTTGCTCAAAGCTCTTGCTTTACCACTTGAGCCACAGATCCACTTCTGGCTTTTTGGTGGTCAACTGTAGATTAGAGTCTCACAGGCTTTCCTCTCCAGGCTGGCTTTAAACTGAGATCCTCAAATCTTAGCCTTCTGGGTAGCAAGGATTACAGTTGTGAGCCACTGGGGCCTGGCAAACTTTGAAAATATGATGAAACATTTTTTCCTGTTATTAAAAGGCATTCTCTACATGCCCGTTCATACTTAAGAGTATCTCTAGTGCTCTTCACCTCTAGCATTACCTCCCAAATAAAAAAACTCAAGGAACTGTTATGTTGGTTAGCACAGCACCTTGTTGCTGCCTAGGACTTGTCAAAGGGATGGTCCTTACCTGCTTCCCTCCTGGTCTCATGCTACGCTTAGCTGTGTAGGGCTTCAGTGGTAAAACTGTGGGAATCTCTTTCTTCACTGATACACTCATCATACATAAAAATAATAGTCTCAGATGTGACTCCTTGCATTTTTGAACCTTCCCTTTATATTTTCTTGCAGGTACTTAGGAATCTGCATGCACAAAGTAGACCATAAAATGTTGATTACTTTGAACAGAGGTGCCATTTAGGGTTTGTATGGAGGCAGATCCAATGGGATCTTAACTATTTCTGAGAACTTAATTAGTTCTCAGAAAGATGCTCCCAGTCCTTCTGTACAGTGGTGCTAGTGCCATTCAGAGTTCATGACAGGGGCCTGCATCCATCACCTAGGAGAAAGGCAGTGAACAAGGAAGGGAAGGGTCATGCATCAAATGATATTAACAGCACCTCCTGTGTACCATGGACAGGGCTGTGCTTAGGGGAAATGGTAGTCAAGAAACCAGGCAAGGAAAGATCTTGCCCATCACTAGCAAGAGGGGTACACATTCCATAAATTCTCATGCCCAGAAAGATGTAATTGCAAACTGTCATCAATGTAAAGATGGAAAGGAATATGGTACCTTAAGGGCTGGGGAATATTCAATTTGCCCATTGTTAAATTATTAGTGTAGCCTAATTATTATATGATATTATTATAATTGTATTATAATATAATTAGATGTTACGATTGTCCCTCCATATATATCCATGGGTTTTCACCCACAGATTGAACTAATCACTGACAGAAAATATACAAAAAACTAATTTTAACTACTGCATATGTATATTTACAGACTTATTTTTTCTCAACATTTTCTAAACAATATAGCATTACAGTTATTTCCAAAGTATTTAAATTGTATTGGATATTATAAGTCACCTAGAGATGGTATAAAGCATATAGTTGTATGTGCAAAATTATATGCCAATCCTATGCCATTTTATGAGTGACTTGAACTACTTGGATTTGGGTATCTGCAAAAGACTCTAAAACCAAGTCCTCTCAGATACTGAAGAGTATCTGGATTTGCTGAATGTGTACCTCTGTGATCCTCAGAATTTACCACATATCACAATTACCCATAGGGTTCATGTATTAATAACCCTTTGCTGTAAAGCCAAGCTTAGACACTGAGCAGAGTATTAAGTCTCTGTGGGTCAGATATCTGTGAGTCCTTTGGCTGGATGATTCCAGCTTAGTCTCTGGTAAAGCTGTGATCTAGCTAGACAAGGCTTCCAAGATGTGTCCCAAGCATGGCCTTAACAGGTGGCTGTCCCTTACTTTACCTGGCTACAGAGATGTCCTCCCAACACTGCAGCTGACTTCCAAAAGGCCAAGAGATTCAAGAGAGCAAGAGAGAAGACCTGTTGTTTTTATGGTGTCATACATGGTCAGATTTGCTGCAATCTATTTGTTACACAATTCAGCCCCCTGGTTGTGGGAGGGAACCATAGAGAGAGGATCAATGGGGGATCCATTTTGAAGGATCATAGCTTTTCAGATTGCTAGCCTGACCCCAGAGATTCAGCAAACGTAAAGGTGCTAAGAGCTTTAAAAAAAAAAA